CCACATCATTCAAGCCACTGGGCATTGGGCATCAAACACCTTCCATATATACATACGGAAGAATCCCATTCTTCTACATGCAATGCTGTTTGGTCATCCTGCTCACCAACAAGCTACTGGACATTAACTTCCTTTCCCATTTTCTGGTATCTCACAACATCCTTCCGTTCTACTCCACTCAACTTTTCTTTTCCCCACAGACATTTTCTTTTCTTTCCCCACAGACATTTTCTTATTTCCACAAACAGACAATTCCCCTCCCTCCTCTTCCCCTTTTCTACATATTATAGGTATTATAGGACAACACTACCATCAATGGACATCTTTCTTGTGAGTTTCTCCAGGCGCACAGTGCCTGGGGGACTCTGCGTACACCTATTTATGCCTTTACTTAAGATTTCAAACCTTTGAACCCTCCCACGATTAGAGCAATTCGTGTTTGGATGTGTTTGTCGACGTGTCGAGTACAATAGTCACAGAATACAACTACTGGAGTGATAGTAGAGTTGAATACAACTCATGGGTACTAGGAAGGTGGTACAAAGATAAATGAAAGGTTTGTTGAGTGTAAATGAGAATGATAGGACAAGTATGGAGATGGTACCCTAACAGTGTCCCAGTCTCACGGCCCTTCCCCTTTGCATTCTCCTGAGGATTAGATGGTTTGGTGATGACTTTGGGCTCATCGTTGCCACGGGCATCCCATGCGGCAAGGAAATCTTTGTAGATTGGTTTAGCAGGGGGTTCAGCGATAACTGCCCAGTTAAAAGAGCCCTCTTGAGTTCAGAGGGCCTCTTCAAGAATTTGAACCATGGGGGTTCAAGGTCGGTGGGTTTGTCCTTCCCCGTCGTTTTCAGAGCACTAATGTAATATTGCTACCAGGGGTTAGTGTTGGTGCAATTCATAACTACCAAGCCACTCACCATCATTTGCTGCATCATTACCTCCTTCTTGAGCCTATCAGAAGAGTTCGCCTGGCGGTATTCCCCTTTAAACCAGTTGATGATCTTGTCGGTGACTCCTGGGATTGAGGCAATGATGCCTTCCACTTGGTACACTGTCATTGGGGCTTTGCCG